CTTGCTCCTTGGAGCCTGGATATCCCCAGTGTAATTATGCTATGCTAATTCTGCCCCCCCTCCCATCCATTTCAATGATGGAAAGAAGTCTTCCACACAGCTTGGATGTAAATTGAAACTTGAGTGAATAAATGTATTCATTTGCAGTCTGGCATTGACCATAAAACTCTGCCTATCCTCCTCCTTTCCCTTGAGCTGGGAAAGAAACGGCGGGAAGGAAAGTCTCAGCTGGAACTTGTAGCCTGTTTCCAGAGACGAGGTCGACCTCAGGTCAGGCCACCTTGAACCCTTCTGCTGGATTTATTGTGTGGTAGGTGGACGGGGTCAGGCTGCGCTCCTCCCCTCAACACAAGAACATTGCTGGTGTCCGACACGGAGCAGACACGGGACGACAGACAAATCCCTGTCCCTCCCTCTAAGGAGATCTCCTCATGGGTCAGAGGTCTTGTGTTAAGGCTTGTGGCATGACCTTAATACTGATTGATTTTTCTGCAGTCTGTACCAGGGGAGGGGGGTCAAATTTCTTTTCCTTACCCCCCGTTGAGATGTTGAGTAAGTGAATTTGGCACAAAGAAAGAGGAAACGCTCCTGGTCACAACTTGTTTGACTTCTCTGCTCCTCTGTATACCTCAGCCGGCGTGTGTTTTCACTTTGCCTGAAACAAGATACCAGACCACATGTTTTCGCTTAACAGACAGCTGAGTGGAGAGAGGGCATGAGTGGGGTCTGTTTGTCATTTGGTGGGAGACAGAGGAGGCCGAACTCCCAAGTTCCTCTGGAGGATTTATTGCTTGTTTAAATACAAGCCCAGGCTGGCCATAGACTATCACATCCATCATCCCATTAGCACAGTTTAAAGGGATTAAAATGGGACTTATCAAGTAACTATTTAGAGTCTTGTAAGTTATTTTGATCTTTGTTATTATGACTAGCATTGCTGGAAAAAATCCCAGGTATTCAGTGAATATGGGTTATTTTCCTGGACAGAGTAGGGAGTGAGAAATTCTTTTCTCCAGAAACAGATCTTAGAAAATCAAAATGCAAAGAATGGAAATGTATTTAATATCAATGGACTGCAGGTGAGAAGATTTCAAACATTTTTTTTTTGGTGTAATAGTAATATTCCTATAGCATAGTTTGCATTGCATCCTTAGTTGTGGATATAATGCAAATTTTTCTTGTTTTCCCTAGATCTCTGTGTCTTCTGTGCTTTACTACACCTTACTTTTTATTAATGTATACATTAAGTTTAAGCCCATTTTCTGAGTTTAGAAATCTTCTAGAGGACATTAAGAAATATAACCATTGCATGTTTATTTCAATTCTGAACATATAAACTCATGTTTAAGGATGTTCAGTATGTGAAATGAAGAAATGAGATCCAGGCGCTTTGTCTTAAAGTACAAATATGTCATATTTGAGTTATAGAACTCAGATTAATCAACATTTCGATATCAGCACTGAGCTTGCTCCAGACTGTCATAAAATTATAGCTATTTTAGAGGTTTGGTTAATCAATACCCAAAAATCCACATCTAGTGGTTGTGGTGGATAAAATTGCTATCTAATAGTCTTTGGCATTCACAAAATTTTTATTTGGGTAAAAGAACAATGTAGGAAAAACAATATTGCAAAGCATTTTATGATAATTAGGCTGTATTTTGTTTGGCTATTCAATTTAGGTAAATCTAAGAGTTATCTTGCATATACATGGGTATCACATGTGGACTTGTGGGAAATGTGTTTGCTGATTCCTTTGTGCAACAAAAGACGACTGTAGCTTAAATCTGCCTTTAAACAGTGTTTTCTTTTGTCTATGGGCATTAGAGAGACTCTAAGCTCCATAAATATACTAAACAGATGTAAAAACCAACCTCATGACTGAGGTTTCCACATTCCTTCCTCATCCCTTCACCTCAAGCATTTCATTACTTCTCTGAATGAAACAGAAATTACATTTAATGTTTGAAACAATATTTACACTTAATTTAAGGATTATTTCAAAGCTTTTTGGATTGGAAAACGAGCAACCAAAGACTTTGCCAAATGAAACCTTTTGCAAATTCTCAAAGATTAAATTGCAGGTATTTTCGTGTTTCAGATAAAGGGCTTGCTCATAATTAACCTTTCCTGTTTTGATATCTCAGACTGCTACTGGCTGAATGACATTGATTTGACATAATATCTGTTGTTAAAAGGCCATTTGGAGAGATCTACTAAAAGACAACTTTAATTTCATACCTGAGCTGTGTTTGGTTCGTTACAATCAGCTGTTCAATTAGTATGGCTTTCTGCTAAGCTAGTCAGTCTGCACTTAAGTGCTTAGCAGACCTGCAACTTGCAGCTTGCCGGCTGTACTGTACTTCATCCACACAGCAGGCATGTTCAATTGCACATAAAAAAGTCAGAGAAATGGGCAGATTGTAATAAAAATGCTGTCATTTAAATGAGCTGAAGAGTCTGATTGGATTCAGCTCAATCAGAATGAAATTATATTCCAAGCAAGAGGGATGGTTTATCTTGGTTATCATCTATCTAAACACTTGATAACATCATGTCTCTCTAACTGGGGCAAAATGACCTGTCTGCATGTGTGTGGAGGGGCAGTAGTGCTATTCTTAAAAGTGAAACAAACTTGGAGAAAATGTTGATTTCCTCCTGTTCTCTCACCCTGGAACGCAGCAACATCATGTGTTGCTTGACTTGTCGCCTAATCAGAGATGGCAATATAAACCTAACTGTTCCCAGAACCTGGTGCAGGTTCATGAGCAACAAGATTTCTCAGAACACACCTCCACATTGTTATTGCTTCAATTTTTAGAGCACAGTCAGAACTAGAGCCTCTTACATGTTAAAGTGCATCTATTTAGATTTTTTTCCCCCATGCAAATATAAACTGTATATTCTGTTTTATTTTCTTCAGCCCCTAAAAAATGTTTCTTATTAAGGAATTTTGCAAATATAAATATAGCTATTGATTGTTTATCATAGCTGGAAATACTTCTAAGTGGCTGTATATGTCTGTGTTGCTAGTAGGGAAGAAACGTGGCAACAAAAAGGTTCAATCGGCTGCTTCACGGTTTGAAAATGTTAAAGCAGTTGTTTCTATAGCTTGAATAAAAGAGCCACTAAAATTTAAAGAGTAAATTAATCCTTAATAGTTTTTGCTTAATGTTGTTTAAAGCCGGTATTAATTCAAACAGGTAAACGCAGTCAGCATTCAGTCCAACATTACAGAGGCCAGGTCCTATTCTGTTACTCCTTCAGTAAGGTTTAATCTGGATCGCTGCTTTCTGAAGGATTCTTATCATGATACTTTTAATATTTTTGTTATTGCCTGAATTTTAGCCCTTTTTATTCAGTTCAGTTCATTTATACGGATTCTATTGATAACAAGTGTCATCTCAAGGCTCTTTACAGAGACAATTCATACAGGCTAATATAGTCAGCTTGTCCTGCAGTATTTTGGAAATGTTATAGTCCTTATCTTTTGGATACTTGTGTGACTTTAATACATTAACATGTGAGCTGTACTATAAAGCACTAACTATTAAATCCATCTAGTTGCATTTAAAGGCAATTTGCTGTCTGGAGACTGAAAATACTTCAGAGATACTGCAATGTGTAAGTGGCACATGCAGTTGTTTTGCACAGTGCCTTATCTGCCTTTAGATGTTGCTTTGTTTTTGTTATCAGAGCTTCTACTGTATGATGCCATAAATGGTAAACAGACACTTTTAAGCGTTGATTTTGAAAAAATAATGGCCTAATGCCTAATGGTTAAAATTACCCAGAATAAAGCATTACTTATAAACAGCTTTCTATCAGGAACTTTTCTGGGCCTCGCATAAAGAAGGAGAGAAGTCAAGAGTGGAGGAGGAAAAAGAAAGCCGATGAACTGGCTTTGCTGTAACCTTAACTGAACCACTACCCAAAAGTGACAGCCAGCTGGAGAATTTAGCAATCATTTATATTCTGCTTTGGCAAAGACTGAAGATTTAAGAATACTTAAATGCTTCTTTTATTAAAGCCATATAACCCACCCTATTTCTTACTTCAACATCTGCAGAAACTCTGCGATTGTAGCCAAAAATCTTTATCTTCAGGAAGTTAAAGTACACACAAAAGTTTCTTAGCCTGTAATTACAACTGCTGTTGCATTGCAAATTTTCTTTTGGCTTTAGCAAAGGATTGTTCAGATTGTTCATTTCCAACTGAAATAATGCCTGCATTTGTTTTCTATACCTAAATAAAAATCTACATCTTACCCCCTATTCATTTTTGCCTATGTGGCTCTCAGACTTTAGTATACAGATTCATTTCTGAAATGTTAAGTGTGCGGTCATGCTGGTGGATTTTTATGCCTCAAGATAAATGGATGTAGAAAGTCATCTCTTTTTTTTTTGCTATGTATGGTTTTGGGGAGCTTTGCAACAACCTACCTAAGTGTGTGTTAAGTTTTCAGCTGAATTTCTGGCAACACCATGTATAACTTTTGCAGTTGATGTTGGCTTTCTATGAGTTGAGATATTATTGGTTACATCTTAGTGTAGGAGTCTTCATTTATATATATATATATTATTTTTTTTTTAGGTTTGTGCTCTGGCAAGGTGAAGAGATTTTTCTTGGAGCAGATTGCCAGAGCAGATTGTGAGCTGAGATGCTATCATCACAATTGTCTAAGTTTGAGCTGTGGGATTTGTCGTGAGATTTTGTTCACTTATTGCAAATGCATTCTGCATTCCAAAACATGCTTTTTCCTCTGAATTTTAGGCAGGTATTATCAGGTTAACGGGCCCTTCACCGATTCTCCCTGATAAAAGGGTTGATAGATCTTCATAGATTTTCATTCTTATTCATTGCTGGACTTGGATCTCTCTGATGGAAAATAAAATATGGCTGTGTTCAAAGTCTTAGTGGCATCAGTTGCAAGCTGCTCAGCATTATGTCAGTGATGCTCACAAATGTAACACTCATCATATTTTTTTTATTTTATCCAGATTCACAGACAGCTGCTGCTGAACCTGTTCCAACCCTGGAAGCTTACCTGTCTGTGGGATTGCTGCCGTCAGCAGACTCCTTCAAAGCTTTAAGGTAAAGGCTGTTACTCTATACAGTAAGATGTTCTACAATTATCAGTTGGAGATTAGATGCATTTAGATGTAATGAAAGCTGCTCCCTTAAGACATTTATAGAAACGGCTTAATTAATAAATGTATGAAAAAAATGGTGCAGCTTGCAGCTTTGCAAATAAGTCATTGATTTACTTGGTAATTGTTTGGCAATTTTCATCTACCTATAGTGTGTTTGTTCTGTTTGCCAGAAATAACTTATGTCAGACACAGGGGACGTATATAAGCAAATGGGCTGTTCACGAGAAGTAAGGAACAGAATGAAATATCCTTTATTGTCCCTCAGAGGAGAAGTTTATGTGCATCAGCAGCAAATTGAAAGGGAAGACAAAACATTGAGATTCACACAAAGGTAGAAATATAAAAAACAAAGAATGAGACTGAGAAAACAAGACATAAGAAAGAAAAATACTGGATATGGGGCTGTTTAATATGGGGGAAAAAAAACAATCCCATCATTACCATAATATTTTCACATCACTGTTTGTGTCTATATACTGTATATATTTCATGCATGGCTCTCTTTCAGTGTAAAGGAGCTCTCATTATCATTCATCTTATCTATATTTATGGTTTCTATCAAAGATTTCTCATGTCTTTTCAGAAGGATTATTTTGAGATAAATATTCCTATCATTTTGTCATCAAGCCCTAACTGTACTGTTATTAAAATAAGACGATTGTATTAAGACATGCTACTAAATGAAACGATCTAGAAATCAACAAAATAAAGGAAAAAGTTGAATTGAGTACTATAACCTTTACTGCCTACTGTACTGTACATAAATGCCTTGAATCAATTTTCAGCACTCAATGCTGTGTTTTGAGGTCAAGCATGAGTTCAAGTGCCTATATGATGTAACCAAAGTTTGATTTTATTTTATTTTTCTAGTTTTTAAAAGATTCTTGTATTTGGGTTCTTCGTTGTGTTTTGGTAAGTGGTTTGCTTTATGTGAACCTCCAATGATAAACCCATGATACAGTAAATGGAGTCTTTCTTTGCTAAAGAATGAAACTTGCAGGGTTTCTTAAGTGCACGGCACACTTTTCAGTCCAAACATCACAAATCAGCAGTAACTTAAAAGGGGTCATAGAATGATTATAGGGAATTTGGTCTCTGAATAGGGTGTGTAACATTGTTTGGGCTGAAAATGAGCCTGTTCTATGAGCCCTAATGCAAGCCTGGTTAAAAGCCCTAGAATGAAACGACAGGTGTTCTTCCTTTTATGGTATGAACATGAATATTAAGATCAGCTCTGCACTGATTAGTTGGTATACAGTACAATGGGTGAAGCTGCTGAGCAAAGACACATCATAGCAACAAGCACGCACTCAGTGAAACATCAAATTGTTGATTATGGTAGGGTTGTCAAAAGTATTGACAATGAAACGTTGTATCCAGATACAATATTCATTTTCAAAAGTATCGATACAGCCATCTAAAGTGCAGAATAGTGAAAAATGCACTTTCTGAACACTGTGTAATTGAATAATTCTCTGCATTTTTCAGTTTCAGACTTTTTTTGTAACAGGTGCAGCTGCTGAGAATTATTTTTGTTTAACTGATTTTGCTAGTGTCCTTGTTATGTCTGCAAAACATAGCCAAGGAAGGAACACTTAATTTAAATTTTGTAAGTTTTTTTTTATCAAGCTTGCTTGATATTGTGCACAGCATACAACCTCAAAATATTATTCTTATTGTTTTTTTATTTCTTGTATTTTTTTAGTAATGAAAATATTTCTGTTGAATTTTAGAGTCTTTGTTTTTATTCTTGTGGTATCGAAAAGGGTATCGAGTATCGAATATTTTACTTAGTATCGGTATCGCGTTGAAAAGTTTTGTATCGTGACAACCCTAGTAGGGTGATCAGACGTCCTCTTTTTTTCCGGAAATGTCCTACTTTTCATACCTAAAAAAAATGTAGAGGGGGAATTTCAAAATGGGATTTTGGTGGACTACAGTGCAGCAAATAGTCGAAACACACCGGTCACCCCAACCGCTCCGAGGCTGGTCCTGGAACCCTGGTGGACGGGAACAGGGAGCCAGCGGGGGAAGGAGGGACGAAACCCAACCCGGTGACGGTAGCCTGGACACCGGCGGCCCCGTGCTTCCCCCCGCCTGCCCAGTAAGGCTCCCCCCCGTCCGACGGTCCAGTCAGCAGCCCAGCTCTCTAATAATTCTCTCACATGAACATATAAATTAAACGTCTATTTAAAACAGACATGATCAACATGACCCAATTATTTATTTAAATTGAGAAGTTATTCTTTCTGCGATAAAGTCCTACAACAGTGATCTTTACAGTTTTTCTGCTTTTGCTTGATTTTAATATTATTTTGAACAAAAGCCTAACATATTGGAATCAAGACTGAGTTTATTATGCGTTTGGTGAGCTAAAATTGCTTTTTCCACAGACTGGAATCATTTTTAGTTTGTCTTCTTTCAATAAACAGTAACGCCTGAAATAAAACCAACAAATACTAGTTTTCAATTAGATTAGCTGCAATAAGGTGCTTGGCAGAAATGTTCTGCCTTAAGAGAGGCAAAGTTCTCTCATTTTTTTCCAATAATTTTATTTTTATATATCTGAAAGTATTTTCTGCCATGCCTAGCTCTTTTGTGAGCAATGGGGAAGTTTGGTCTTGCTGTGTGCAGCAAAAGGTGGGGAACGGGGCAATGCACTATTTATCCTTATAGGTGGAGAAAAGCTCAGATTGACATTATGTCATTTGAGTGCAACTATTAGGAATGTTACGGCCAGTTTGACTGGTTTTATTGTACACCGAGCTGTTAAAAACTGAACTTCACCATTCAGTGTTGCATGATATAACCTATATTTATGGTTACGGCAGTATCACCATGTCCTATATACGTACATATGTCTATCTTCAACTATATTATTGTAGTTCTCCAACCAAAAGTACATTTCAAGAACATTCTTAAGTGGAGTTTCATCATTTTCCATGATCAAATCATATATTTTTCTCCAATCCCAAAGCCCTGCAGATAATGTGTATTTTAGTTCATAATTGACATTTCAGTTTAGTTAATGAAAAGCACAGCAGATGGCAAGGCTTTGGTTTCGTTTGTGCTCTGAAAGGAGATGTTAAGCGTTGATCTTATAAAAGTTTTCAGCAATATGAGCTTTATTGTCTCACTTAAAAAAAAAGAAAACAGGGTGGCTGCAAAGTTTCGGTAACTTAACCAATCACAGAAAATTCACTTTGTTTGGCCTAGAATTGAATTAGCAGACTTTAGTGAGGAGAGCAGAGGAGAGAGCTGAGGAGATGACAGTGCGCCTCCTGGGAAGGCTCCAGGCAGATGGTTGACCAGATAGAGACCTGCTGTGACCTTGATGGAATTTAACAGTAAAGTGTTTCCAAGCTGTGAAATGTCTTTAAGACAGTACGGCACTGGTGCTAATCCGTGCGTTTCTCTTTAGTTGTTTTGTCTTGACTTGTGCTTATTCTGATGTCACCGGGTCATCTAGAGCACATCTAATTTAATTTAGAGGAAACCTTCTTGTTTTGTTTGGAAGAAATGACCACTTTTCAATAAGCTGGACTAAAGCTCAACAAACTCATTTGCTGCTAATTTTTTTGAAGGTCAAACTGTACTTTGTAGCAACTGGTAGGGATAATTTCAGCGCTAAAAATGCCAAGTTTTTCTAAAAGTTGTTTTTTTTTTTTTTATAAAGTTATTCTATTTCCTCTAACTTTCTTTGGAATTAATACTATTTTTCTTTAACATAAGGTGGCTGGAAAGTAAATTCTATGTACCACAGGAATTATTTAAAAAGCTTACAATTTAAGTAGAAATGTTTTAAATCTTGGTTTTTGCTATCCATGCGCTCCAAGCTGGATTGTCACAGGATCTGAGTTTTCAGTCTCACTACAAATCTATTTGGAAAGACTTGCGTTAATATGTCCGTATCCTCACAACCAGCGGGTCGGACCAATGACATGCCAGCAGTGTTTTTTGGTTTTTAATCAAAATTTAATCTGTTTTAGCTAAAATAACAACAATTTCTCATTTTAAAAAAGAAGAAAAGAGAAGCACTTTGTGCATTTGTAGATGGGAAAGATGTCTGTGCTTTTCTCAGACGTCTGTGATTTATCAGCTTACTCCGCTAGATGTGAGAACGTCACTATTCTCTACTACGATTGGCTAAAAGCCTATTATGGATGGCGGGTACTAGCTGGCACTTCACCAAATCAGCTTGAAGTATTGTACTAAACGTCCCTCCTTTTCACGGATGGGCTGAATGGCAGCCATCCCAGATTGATAACTCAGTTCTACACATATCAATCTGTTTATTGCCAGCTTAGTTTTTTTGCTTTCTGGAGAGAAAGAAAATATCTCACTGTATGCAAAGTTTGAGGCAGCTAATAAATAAGAATGCAAATAAACTACTTAAAGCAGGAACTCTTTATAGCCTGATATCATTTAAAAACATTTTCTTTAACATGATTTACTTTCCTCTGAAAGTGATTAATCAAAACTGTATCAGTTAATGATCCATCACAATCTATTATATTTAATAATTCTGTGGAGCCTATTTTACAGTCAAATAGAGGCTTAGAAATTCTGTGGGTTAATGTGATATAATAGGTGTGTGTGTGTGTGTCTGTCTGCTTTATTTGTGGGAAAGCGAAATCAGTTAGAGATTTTGATTGAGCGGTGAGCCACTGAGACAGTGTTTCTAATTGTGGTAATTTTTAAAACTCAATAAGGTTGGCGCTCCTTCTTATTGGATCCAGGAACATAAGCTCGTAAGAATCATTTCTCAAAGACGAATGTGCTGTTATTTTGGCAACACTGACTGCACAGCGGTCTGAGGGAGAGGTTAGACGTGACAGAATGCTCTTAGCTTTATTCCTCTCCTCGTCAGGGCTGTACTAGAAAACCTGCAGCTGAACTCCCTCCCTGCTTGCAGCAGACTTTGCACAAGAACAAGACAAA